ACACAAGAGTAATGCTGATTACACGAGTATTAACATTTAATATGCCAATGCCCTAGCTTGTGCTGTAGGACTATAATGTATAAAGTTGATCATGGAGAGAACAAGAACCCCTAACTAATATTTTTGTCACACTGCAACAGTCATAGTCACTCCAATGTAACCTGCAGTGTTTGGAAGCATACACACATTTCTAAATGCACCTACATTTATTAATGATTAATTCGGTATTAGGCTGCACAGAAGAAATGAAAAATAACATCTCTTGCCTAAAGATATGCAGTCCAAGTATGCACAAAATGTCTCAAATTGTGCAAACAGAAACTAGACAACAGAGAAAGGGAAGAAAAAGGTTACAGCAATACGATCCTAGAGACTCTTTGGACTCTTTCTATAAATAGTTATTGATTATATCAGTTATAGTTTATTGAAAATCTAATCAGATTCATTCAAATGTGAATAACAATAAGTTATAACAATAAACAATAAGTGAACCCAGGCTAAGCTTTGGGTTAAAAACAAGAGCTTTGCACTGGCCTAATGAAGACCAAGGAAGAGGCAGAATGATCTATTATCATTGACAGGATTATACTTAAGATTAAGAGGAAAAGTAAAATTTAGGTTGAACATCAGGAGAACTGCCCTATAGTGAAATCAATTAGAACATGAAGTTCTGAGCTGCAGATCCAGGGTTTTCAAGAAGTTTCAGTGGGCAATATACTCAGACAACTACTTGTTAAAGGGCTGTGAAGTAGGGCAAAAAACCCCTCAGGCTAGACACAGCTAGCTTGAATCAGCCCATCTTCCAAAAGCTGAAAGCTACATAAGGTTTCATTGATGAAGCTTATCAGAAGCTCTTTTTTTGTCATATGGCATGTTAACAGCAGGGAAGCCATTTTTTATATTATGAACCCCACCAGAGCAAAAGGCTAGGATATCTTTTGTTCTGTAAGTCCAGCAAAATCAGGAGTTTCACCAAGTTGCAGGAAATGAATCACTGTGAGATTCTTGGCTGTTGTAAACATTTATTATGTGCTGTTTCATGGAATGGGGGGCATGAGCATGTTGTACTGCCAGCAAAACCCTGTTAGAGCTGAGCATCTCCAACTCCCCTTAAAATCAGTGGGGAACTGTGGATGGCCAACATCAACCTGGAGCTGTGGGAAGTAGTACTTTGTAACTATTATGCAGAGAATTATCAGTTTCCTACCTCCATAAAATAGCCTGCTGGTGGTGGGGAACTTTAGGGTAAGAACCAAGATCTCCTCGATTCTAGTACTGGCACACTGTTAATTACTGTGGGCCCTACTGTACTCCTCTTTAAAAAAGGGTTAATACTGTACCAGATTGTTGTGAGGTAATGTTTCTCCACAATTAGTGTTCAGTATTGTTAGTCTGTTCTCTCACTGGTTTTACACTGAGGCATTCTGTTGACTTCACTGAAGTCATTCTTGAAATCCAGGTGCCAAGTGAGAGGTGTTTCAAGCCCAATTTCCAACCTCATAATATCCTCCCTTCGTTTTTGTAATCTCAGGAAGCATACAAATCTTTGCAGCTTTGAATATGAGAACTCACAAGAAATACAGTGGACCCCTGCACCCTTCTGAGCTTCCCTCCATGCTGCACAAAGGAGGCAGAATCAGAGAGCTTTGCCAAGTGCTGCTAACTGCTCAGTCTTCATTGAAGATTTGATAATAGGTTCATAGTCTTGGTGAAACCGGTTGCCAAGACACTGGCTTTAGTGACTCAACTCTGGAAGGAGAAATGACAGCACGGTCAGTTGTTCATGCTTGCAGCCAGGATGGTGTTTGGAGTATGGAGGGAGAAGGCAGACATGATTCTTTGGGTAGATGTGATATATTTTATTAGACCAACTAAATAGCTGGAAAAATTGTTCTTTGCAAGCTTTTGGGCACAAACAGCCTTCTTGAGGCATAGGGAGAGTCTGGTGGTGTTGCATATTGGAGACAATATGCAAAATACAGGTTTGTGAAAATGCAAATGCGTGGCAGTGAGGATCAGAGGAAACGAGAAACAATAGGTGTGAGACAGGTAGGTGAGGGGGGAAGGGATAGAATGTAGCTGGTAAAATGCAGACATGTTACCTGGGGTTCTCAGATGTCAGGCAGGTTATAATGTGCCATAAATCCAATGTTTATATTTAGTCCATGATTTTTTATACCCATTAGATTTATGAAGTGAAGTTTGTAGGCTCATCTATGAAAGGTGTTTTGTAAATTTACTTTGAGGATTAGAACTGAGAGATTGCAGAGAGAGAGTGGTTGTCTTGTGAGAAGTGTGCACCCACAGGTAATTGGGTATTTTTGTCTTCCATAGTTTTTTGGTGTGTGTTCATTCTGGTATGCAGTTGTTGTTTGGTTTCTCTTACATATTTTCCATCAGGGCATTTAGTGCACTCAGTGAGATATGTTAGATGTCTAGAGGTGTAGTTATAAGATCTAGGAATGGTGATGGTTCTGTTGTAGGGTGTAATTATTGTGGGAGTGGTGGAAATGCGTTGGCAGGCTTTACATGTTTTGTCCTGGCATGCTCTGGATCCATTCAATGTGCTTTGGGCCATAGGAAGTTTGCTTCTGGTGATGAGGTTGGTGAGGTTTGGTGCTTGTTTAAAGGCTAAGGTGGGTGGAAAATATGTAGGAGAAACCAAACAACAACTGTAATCCCACAATCACACCACTTTCCATGCACGTATGGCATGGCAGGAAGTGCAATTGCGTGAATCGCACATTAGAACCCATTGTGCCTTTAGCTGCATGTGCAGAGTGGTCTGGTTTAACACATTTGTAGACATTTTATAATCTGAGTAGGAATTGTGACTGGTGCTAGCCATACGTATGTTGGGAGAGACTATGGGTTTTGTGGTAATATTTCTATGTTAACTGTGTTCATGTTATAATGTTGTGTGCCCCATAAAGCTAGTACATGGGGAGCAATGGGTTAAAGAGACAGTGAAGCAAAAAGTCTGCCTACTGTACTGTGGTAGCATCCACAGACTTGAATAGCCTTGTTAATCCATAAAGAAAGGCAAGATGGCTGACACCTGGGAAGCTGACTTACGTAAACTTAGCAAGGGGAAAAGTAGGATGGGGAAGGTGAGTGACTGCTTGGTAGGAAACAGTCTGGAATATGAGCTTTGGGCTCAGGGATCTGGAATGACTAAAAAGACAACAGCTGAGTTCCTGAGTGTTCAAGACTGTGCAAGCTAGACTGGTGATAGAGGGTGCCTTAAACCCCTTGGAGGTGGGAACAGAGAATCTCTGGCTGGGTAGCCTTTGCCCCAGCGAATGCCTCTATTAATGCTTGCAACTTCAGGTTGCTCTTAGTCTTCCCAACAGATGATAAAGACCCTCTCTCAGAAAAATGTTTCTGACATGATTGTCTGCAATGGCTGGGAATGAGACTTGGTGATCTAAGATCCAGGATGACCCCTTCCAATCCTGTTCCTATGTTTCCTGTTTGGATGATGTGTGCCTTCACTGTATTTCTTTCTTCTGTCTCTGGCAGCCCCTTTTTGTAAGGGAGAATCAACTGTAATATGAGGCATGGGTAAATACAAATCTCCATGGGTGGATCTAGAATTTTGAAAAAGCGGGTGCAAATGGTGTGGTGGATCATCACATATAAAACAATGCATCTTTCTCCAGTTAAAAGGAAACTGGAAGCTTTATGCTAGGGGCCTAGGGCTGTATTATTCAGTTTAAGAGTGAAGCAAAACCAAATATAACATCATTGGAATGAGTTAAAAGAAAGGCAATCTGCAGGGCTGAGAACTAGGCATTTCATTACCAAGAGCAGCTAACAGACAGCAGAATTGGGACAACTTGATTAGTGGAACATCAAGACCAGTAAAAAGAAGAGAGGATCATTAACACCTGTGGAATGAAGAGTTTAAAAGGACTCAGGTAGATTATAATGAGCCATGAAGTCAAGCGACTCCCTCGGCGCTGCCTGACTAGAAATGCTGCTGCCACTGCCAGGCAGTTGGTTCTAAACTTTGGGCGGAGCAGAAATCAAAGGGGAGGATGTAAGTGCACCAGTGCACTCCTCCTCCCAGATATGCCTTTGCACATATCATTGTTCCAGAAGGAGAAGCAAAACAATCATTTAATTTATCTGCAAACAGAAAGCTGTAACCCAAGCTTCAAGAGCCTCACGATTAACACGTCAGGAGCCTTCTCCTGTGAAGTGATAGAAACTGTAATTTAAAGATACCCCAATATTAAGGAAACTGAGTAAGCTGGTAAATGGGAGATGGTCCCTCTGTTAAATAGCTAGTCAGAGACAGGCAAAAGGTATGCCAAGGTTTTTCTGTTGCTCAACAATTAAAGTTTTTGTTTAGTTCCTCTTATTCGTGTATGACTCTATTTTCTGAATGTAAAATTGCCAATGCACTTGTAGGAACTTTGAATGGAAAGAGCATGTGGAGACAGCTCTTTGATGTCATTGTGAAGAAGAGGAACTGATCTTGAAAAAATGCAACTTTGCTTTTGTTCTAGCTTGAAGCCAGTAATGCTGCTCAGAATATTTTATGTTATGTATCCAGGAGCACTCTTTCCAGGTTAAAACCCCCCCAAACTTTACAGCAGTATGCACTGCTAACCATGTTTTGAAAACCTAAGGTAGATTTGTCTTCAGTGATTACCTTTATTTCAGACATTTCAACGTCCTTGCCAGGAATCTGGAGAGAATTATTGCAGAGTACTGCACAGAAAGACAGATTCTTTCCACATGTTGCTCCTGAGATTATCCCTACTGTATGTACTACTCGTTTGACTATGAGCATTAAGCTTAGCAAAGCCAAGCCTGACTTGTGAACTCAACTTTACTGTCTGTGAGTCAACCTGCTGAAGTCGATGCCAATTCACCGAGCTAAGCACACGGACAAACGCTTGCAGATGTGTCTAACATTTTTTTTCTGAGGTACTTTCTTCTGCTACATTGCTGCTATATTCATGATTCTTATTTATTTATTCTTCTGGCAGGCCTTGATCTAACAGGTATATTTCTCTTTGCAATCTTGACGCTGATGACACTAATAGCCAACCTGGTGTTCATAGAGGAAGTGTTCTATATCTACAAGAAAATCCCCTCCTCCAAAAGGTCCATTTTTATTTGGATAAATGCTGCAGCTCCGGTAAGATCAGGGAGAAAGTAATTAAACTGTGTGTGGACAGTGCCATTTCATTAACACTTCTGTATTTGGTCAAGTTCACGATGAGGTTTCCCCCTTCCAATCAACATAAGGAAAAAGAAGCTGCATCTTAGATTCGAGTACTGGCCTGGGGCAAGTGGTGGCTTAGCTACCTGGGGCCAGGGCTAAAGCCAAAGCTGAGCCATCACCTACGCCCAGATAGGGTGGTTCATGTGGCAGGGGAGGGGTATGTGGTGGGGAAAGTGCAGGAGGGACTGCATGGTGGGGCTAGAGGAGTGCACAGGGGAAACT